TACTTTTTTGAATTTCTCTTTGTATTCGATATTTTGATTTAACCAGTAAAACTATTTAGGGAAAAAAAAACCAGTGAACGTTATGCCATTAGATCAGCATTTTCAGCTCAACTAAACAATAAAACTCAAAAGAGATCTCGGTTCATTCTTTCCCAACCCTGACATCAAAACGAGGCTGAATGTTGTTATTTGTTTAACACCTTCCAAGCTTATTCACAACGGAGGTAAACTCTACCGTATCTCCCATTCGTGTGTAAAAAGATGGAGTATGTAAAACTAAAATCTCAGAGGATCCCTTTAGGGAAATAGTTACAGCTGCTTCTTCAAAGTCATAATGGAAAAACTACAAAAACCGTGGAAATAAAATTTGCCACCCAATTCCAAATCTACGCTGGGAACACACTAAGTTTCTTTTCCTGAAGGAAAGGTTAATTATTCTGCCAGTCACCGCCAAAATCTCTTTTTAAAGCAAGAACAAGTCCTACTGAAAATTAATTAAGGAGAGATTCTAGGAATTAAAAAAAAAAATAGAGATAACTGAGAAAATGTAATTTACAATTACAGCAAAGCAACACAGCATTTATTCCCAAATGACCCAGGGCATCTAGATGTAGATTAAGCTAAACACACAGACCAAATTAACAGTATCTCAGCACTAAGCATAGATTCATTTCCTTAATAATCACAGCCTGGCTATGGTTTTTAATTCCATTTAGGGTTTGTTTGTTTTTTTAAAAAAAAAACATTTAATTTTGAAACCTATCTCGAATGAATGGCACAATCAACGGAATATTCCAAGCAATGCCATGGTAAATTTACAGGATTTCCGAATTGCAAATTTAGCAGGTTGCATGTTTCAAATATTTTATTTCTAGAAAGAGAAAAAAATACCTGAAACATGAAGTTTTGGGGAAAATTCTGTAACCTTACCCCCAAAATCATTTCAATACTACAGAAATACACACACACACACACACATATGTAGGTCTTTGGTTATTCGGGTTTTCTCCCGTGTAAAATTGGAAGTGTCTGGGCGACGTTTCAACAAAGTCCCATTCGTCATCTTCAGGCTGGTGTTTTCGGCTTCGTGCTTCTAGGAGCAATTGCTCCTAGAAGCACGAAGCAATTGCTCCTAGAATTGCTCCTAGAAGCACGAAGCCAAAAACACCAGCCTGAAGATGACGAATGGGACTTCTTCGAAATGTCGCCCATACACTTTCAATTTTACGCGGGAGAAAACCCGAATAAACAAAGACCTACATACAAACACCCGTGAAAACCTCAGAATATATATATATATATATATATATATATATATATATATATATATATATATATATTAGCCTCCTAGAAGCCACGAAGCAATTGCTCCTAGAATGCTCCTAGAAGCACGAAGCAGAAAACACCAGCCTGAAGATGACGAATGAGACTTCATTGAAACGTCGCCAAGACACTTCAATTTTACGTGGGAGAAAACCCGAATAACCAAAGACCTACATATATATATATATATATATATATATATATATATATATATATATATATATATACACACACACCACACACACACACACACACACACACACACAAAAACCCCACATATATAGATATAGTGTGTGTGTCTGTGTGTGTCTGTGTGTATGTTGAGGAAATTCTCCCTCTGGCAAAATAGCAAGCTCAATTTGAAAAGTGTTTTTTTTTTATCAAAGAAGCATAACATTATAAAGCCGTTATTATTTCATTCCTCTGACATTTCATTCACATTGCTTTTATTCAGAATACAGTCACAGGTGGATGCTTTATTATACCCATTTGCCCAGCACAAAGTTTTAGGTGTTTGACTATATAACCAATTATTTAAGGGATTTGCGTGTTTAAAATGAGATATCCTCCAGATCACAAAAGCAGAGTTAAGGAAAATCTACCTTAGTTGTATAAATGCTAAAACTGATTGTTCTGCTGTCTAAAAAGGTCCCACGATCCTGTTCAGCTCTTACATTTTTGACTTACTGACTTTACCAGCTCAATGACAGACAAAAGCCCATTAAATACACATTCAACCTCAGAAAGCTTTAAACTCTAAGGAGTTTAAATTGAAGAAATAAACAAAAGCCATGCTTTTGATATCGTGCTCATTTCTGGATAATGCTCAGGAAACAGAAATTTACAATACAAGCAGTCCTTGACTTGTATCAGTTCAAAGTTGGCAATGGCACCGAAAAAAAGGGACATATGACCATTGTTCAGACTTTCACACCATTGCAGCCTTCCCAGGGTTTACATTATCAAAATTCAGAGGCTCGACAACTGACATGTACTTGTGACGGTTGCAGTGTCCCCGGGATCACGTTATTCTCTTTGGCGACCTTCTAACAAGGAAAGTCAGATTCACTTAACCACCATGTTGCTAACTTACTATAACAATTGCAGTGGTAACATGGGGCAAAACTCACTTAACAAATGTCTCGTTTTGCAACAAAAACGTTGGGCTCAATTGTGGGTCGTTGAGTGGTATGGAGTCTTCTGAAACGGTTATAGGAAGGCTCCACACCCATTTGCACCACTCAGGTGACCCTGAGGACACAGATACGCCTCCAAGTGGCCTCAACGACTCTCTAAAAGAAGGCAAATGACCAGCTCTCTGCAAGGAGTATAAATCCTCCTGTTCCTCCACCATCCAGTCAGAGCCGAAGAAGCTTCTGGGATGAGAAGCGAAACATCTTCAAACAAAAAAACAAGAAAATCCAGTTGCCTCATGAAAAAAAGCACCTTTGGGATAGATAGAGACATGGGCACAGCCACAAAGGCTGCACTGGCATCTGGAAACGCAGCACTGCGCAGAGGGTGAAAGGGAGAAACCGATGAAAGAATTTAAGAAAGGGGGACCAACAAAACCCAAATGCAATTGGAAAATATTCACGGCACACCGTGTCTTTTGGCCCTCTTAGACAAAACGGAAAAAAAACAACGTTCACAGAATACAAAAATAAACACGCCAAGCCCTTGCCCTGAAACAATTAAGATGTGTTTTTGCCGGTGCCAAGCGGTGCTGTTCCAACCCTTCGCCTGCCTTCGAGTTGAGGCTAGCAGTGAATGGGAAAACAGCAAACATTTTTTTTTAAAAAAAGTTTTTTATTTATAAAACAGTTAAAACAAAGATGGACATAACGTTAACATTCCAGTGTATATATTCCTAACAATTTGTTCCTCATCGTACATCTAATTCTTAATCTCTCTATATACATATTTTCCTATACAATACAGTCTCTAATTTGTTTCTCTATAAACTAACGTACAGTTTTATATATTTTAACACTAACTTAAAACCTGAACAGTTCTCCTTGATTCACACCAACAATAGAATTTGTCCCAGATTTCAAAGTAATCTGACTCTGTCTTGTCCTTCATTTCCATTGTGAGCCTATCCATATCAGCACACGATAGGATTTTATATAAAATCTCTTCTTCAAAACAGCAAACATTTGACGGACCTTTCCAATAAAATCAAAAGCGTGCTCCTCTTCCATACACATAACTGCTTGTTTATTTCTTAAACACACCTACATGAATACTGCATTTGTGTACCACGCCAGGGACACTTTACTCGGCACAAGAGGTCCTTTATTCCACCGAGATCCTTTTAAAAAAAAAAAACACCCCAAACTGTTGGTAATCTGAGGTCCTCTAAGGAAAGATCTGAGATTCTAGAACCCACTAATTCAGTTCTGGTTTGGCTGGTCACCACGATGTAAAAAAGATGTTGAGACTTTGGAAAGAGTGCAGAGAAGAGCAACAAAGATGATCAGGGGACTGGAGGCTAAAACATACAAGGAACGGTTGCTGGAATTGGGTATGTCTAGTCCAGTGGTTCTCCACCTGTGGGTCGGGACCCCATTTGGGGTCGAACGACCATTTCACAGGGGTCGCCAAACAAGGCTGTCCGCCATTTTTTTCCCCTTTTCTTTGGCCACGCCCTTGGCACCCGGTGATGTATAAGTGGTTGGGGGTCACAACAACATGGGGAACTGTATTATGGGGTCGCGGCATTAGAAAGGTTGAGAACCACTGGTCTAGTCTAATGAAGAGAAGGACGAGGGGGGACATGATAGCAGTGTCCCAATCTCTCAGGGGCTACCCCAAAGAAGAGGGAGTCAAGCTATTCTCCAAAGAGCCCGAAGGCAGGAGAAGAAGAAACGGATGGAAACTAATCAAGAAGAGAAGCAACCTAGAACTAAGGAGAAACTTCCTGACAGTGAGAACAATTAACCAATGGAACAACCTGCCTCCAGAAGTTGCGTATGCTCCATCATTGGAGGCTTGTAAGAAGAGATTGGACAACCATTTGTCTGAAGTGGCATACGGTCTCCTGCTTGCACTAGAAGACTTCTAAGATTTTTCCAACCCTATGATTCTATGATGAATAAGTCCTTGAAAGGTTTGTAGAACAGATACAGCTTCTAAGATGAGTTAGCGCCTCATTAGGTATGACGTGATAGCAGTGTTCCAATATTTGAGGGGCTGCCCCAAAAAAGAGGCAATCAAGCCATTCTCCAAAGCACCTGAAGGCAGGACAAGAAGCAACTGATGGAAACTAATCAAGGAGAGAAGCAATCTGGAACTAAGGAGAAACTTCCTGACAGTGAGAACAATTAACCAGTGGAACAACCTGCCTCCAGAAGTTGTGGGTGCTCCATCACTGGAGGTTTTTGAGAAGAGATCGGACAGCCATTTGTCCAGAATGCCGCACTTGTTTAGTGAACCTTTGAAGTTGTTAATAACATGGTTGTTAAGAGGATCTGGCTTCCCCGATTGACTCTGCAACTGTCATAAATGTGAGTCCGTTGTCACCTGACCTGGGGATGCTGCAATGAATTTTGTTCACCTGACCTGGGGATGCTGCAATGATCGTTACGTGTGACAAACAGGCCGTAAGTCCCTTTTTTCAATGCCATCGTATCTTTGAATGGTCACTAAATGGATAGTTCTAGATCAAAGATTACCTGTAACCTTAAAACGCGATGCTCCTGGTAGTTCAGTGTAACCGTATCTAAAAAAAATAAAAAAATAAAATCACATTAAGTCCTTTTTATTTTTAATCTTCTTTGCATAGCCTCAACCGATCACGTTTTGGGATTATTTTCCCTGCAGTGCTGTGAAAAGGTTGGCTTCCCAAGTACAGGGAGTCCTCACCTTGCTATCACAAGCGAGGCCCAAATTTACGTCGCTCAGTGAGAAATTCGCTCGGTGCGTTTGGCCCCACTTTACGACTTTTCCGGCCATGTTTATTAAGCGAATCACGGCGCCTGTTAAATTAGTAACCCGGTTGTGAAGTCAACCTGGCTTCACCCCATCGACTTGGCCTGTCGGAAGGTCGTAAAAAAGGGGATCACGTGACCCCGGGGGGGGGGACACTGCAACCGTCATAATTACGAGTCAGTTCAAAATTGGAGGAATAAGGGAACCCCAACAGAAGAAGAGATCTTGCATAAAATTCTATCATGTGCTGAGATGGACAGGCTTACAATGATTATGAAAGACAAGACAGAACACGAATACTTCGAAATCTGGGGCAAATTTTACCGTTGGTATGAATTAAGAACTGCTCGGACTTCAAGTTAATGGTAGAATTAAAAGATATACATAACTGTACATATAATTGTATATATAATTGTATTGTATAGAAGGATGAGGGTTATATAGAGGTTAAGAACGATGTATTAAACTTTTGTACCATGATAGGAACTGATAGGAAAATTCATTCTGGAATGTCATGTTTGTCCACTGTTGTTTTAATTGTATTATGAATAAAAATTATTAAAAAAAAAAATACGAGTCAGTTGCCAAGGGTTTGAATTTTGATCACGTGACCACGGGGAACGCTTCAACGGTCGTTAAGTATGGAAAACAGTTTTCAATCCCTTTTTTTCGGGTCCTTGAACAGTCACTAAGCGAACTGTCGTAAGTTGAGGACCAACAGTATACTCTAGGCTGGGAATTATTTATTCCTGGTTCCCAGCCGTGAGAAGAGGCAGTTGTCATTGTTCAGCAGCTGTTGTGATAGGAAATGACAAATCTGTAGCCCTGGCCCTTATTTGCACACCCCCTATTTCCAGTTATTATTCTTACAATTAGCTAAGGCCATGAGGGAATAAATATATATATATCTCAAGGAAAACCGTTTCCAGTGACTTCAGAAATGAACGCAACCCCTGAGGGAAATGAACAGAAAAATCCAACGGAGGGTCTAAAAAAAAAAAAAGATAAAAAGAATAATCGGTTCCGGAAGAGAGGAATCTCACAGAAATTTTTAATGAAAAAAATAAAATAAAATAAATGCCCAGCCTGTTTTAGAGAATTATCTTGTGCTTCAGACATAAACCTTATCATTGTGTTGGAAAAAAAAAACAACTTAATGGTGCTTCGGTCCCCAATAAGAATATTTTCCTTCTTCTTTTCAGAAAGAAAAGACGCTAAAGAAGAAAACAATTTGAAATGTGTTAGGAATTCTCTCAATAAATAGCTCTGACTCTGACAGAAATTTCTGTTTTTCTGTGAGAATTTCCTTTTTTTTTTTTTCATTACTAAAAAGAGGGGGGTCAACCTATCCTGCAAAACACCTGAATTTGCAGGACAGGAAACAACGGATGGAAACTAATCAAGGAGAGAAGCAACCTGGAACTAAGGAGAAAATTCCTGACAGTGAGAACAATTAACCAGTGGAACAACCTGCCTCCAGAAGCGGTGAATGCTCCAACACTGGAAGTTTTTAAGAAGAGACTGGACAGCCATTTGTCTGAAATAGTATAGGGTTTCCTGCCTGAGCAGGGGGTTGGACTAGATGACCTCCAAGGTCCCTTCCAACTTTATTATTATTATTATTATTATTATTATTATTATTGTTGTTGTTGTTGTTGTTGTTGTTGTTGTTGTTGTTGTTTTTGTTGGTATAGGGCAGGGGTAGGCAACCTTGGCTATTTTATGATTCGTGGACTTCAACTCCCAGAATTCCTGAGCCAGCCATGTTGGCTCAGGAATTCTGGGAGTTGAAATCCACCAGTCATAAAAGAGCCAAGGTTGCCTACCCCTGGTATAGGGTTTCCTGCCTGAGCAGGGGGTTGGACTAGATGACCTCCAAGGTCCCTTCCAACTCTTGTTATCCTGATTAGATTAATTGGTAATCTGCATGCTGGGCTTAAAACAACTCAAACAAAAGCTTTGAAACATCCTGAGAAACATTAAAATGAAATCGGTGGGTGCAAATCAAAGTGAAATCCTTTCTAAACACCCAAAGCATTTTAAATACCCATTAAAAACACCTGTTTTATTAAAAGGGGGTGATTATTTTCCTGAAAGTTGGAAAACAGCACCAGGTCAATGATCTATTTCGAGAAGCACCTGATGAGTGAAGACACACACACACACACACACACACACACACACAGACTGAAAACAGACCCCAAACAGGTTTTCTATATTTGGTGTCATAATAAGTGGAGGAAATTCATATATTCTGACTCAAATGAATTCTGGGTTTATTCTTATTTTCTTTTCAACCTTTTTTTTAATTGAAATTTTTATAAACATTTTACAATAAAATCCCTCCCCACCTCTCTCCCTCTCTCCTCCCATTAGCCCTCCCCCCCTTCCCAGAGCTGAATACAGAGCTAAAAACAATAGAAAAGAACATAAAAAATTAAATAAACATCAAACAATTATACATAAATCCTAAAAAGTTTTTAAAACCCCTTTAACTCCATTACAATAAAATCAACAAATCTAAACATAACAACTTTATACAATAAGTTATTCAAAAGCTAAATAATACTTTCTAATCTCATATTTGTTCTGAACAAAATTTACCCATCTGTTCCATACAGAACTGTATCTCTCTTGTGAATAGTCTTTCAGATAAGCCGATATTTTTGCCATTTCTGATAAATAAGAAACTTTAAAAAAACCATTCCTCTAAGGTAGGCAAAGAGTCTTTTCTCCAATATTGCCCAATCAATAATCTTTTCTTTTCAGCCTTTTGAAAGACTAGGCCACCCTCTTGGAGGCAACTGTGTTAGGATGGCCCCAAAGGAAGATGCTCAACGGTAGAAAAATTAGCAATTGTCCCCCGTGTTATTTCAAAGCTTGCAAGCTTGTTAGGAACCAGGGAAATTTCCATCTGTCTTGTCCCATAGAACATGACAATTGCTCCTTCAAGAGCTGGTTAGGCCTTCAAACAAGAAAAAGAGAATTTTGCCAATACGGTACAACAGAGACTGCACTGCCGTCAAACAGAGGATGTGATTGTTTTCAGAAAGCAGCGGGCCCATCTTATTTTTCCCACAATCTTATTTTTTTTAGCACCAAAAATGTCAACCTTTGAGACCACTGTGACACAAAAGTACTTTTATCTTAAGATCTTTGCTGAATAATCTCTATTATAAGATCTTTTACTGGGTAATCTGCTGCGTAGGTTTGCTGTTTAAACACCTCACAGAAGTTCAGCAGAATCACTGCTGTAAAGTACATTTTTTTTCCACGTATAATTAGAAGTTATTTTAAGTAGGGATGACACTGGTTGTCTACTCCTATATGGAATTTAAAATGCAACGCAGGCAGTCTTTTGACGTACAGTAGTTCGTTTAGTGACCGTTCAAAGTTACAACAGCACTGGAAATAGTGACTTATGACCGTTTTTCGCACTTATGACCTCTCCCACGGTCACGGGATCAAAATTGAGACACTTGGCAACTGATTCATATCTATGACGGTCGCAGTGTCCCGGGGCCATTTTTGCAAACTTCTGACAAGCAAAGTCAACGGGGGCATTCCTGGCCTTTACCACCTGCTTGTATAAAGTCTCTGTTGAGATGCTCTAGTTAGCCAGGATTCCTGGTTTCTATGCATGCGGAATCTTAAATGGTTACTGAGGTTTTTCGTAGTTGCGCATGAGAAGCTGTGCTGAATTCAGTGTCCTGACTTAAGTGCTACTCATTTCAACATTAAATGATGATTCATTTAATCATTTAATCCCAAGGCTTTTTTCCCCATTCTAAAAAAGACTGTTTAGACAACAGTCTCGATTAAATAAATTCAATTGTAGTGAAGAGAAGGACGAGGGGGGACATGATAGTAGTGTTCCAGTATCTCAGGGGCTGCCCCAGAGAAGAGGGAGTCAAGCTATTCTTCAAAGTGCCTGAAGGCAGGACAAGAAGCAACGGGTGGAAACCAATCAAGGAGAGAAGCAACCTGGAACTAAGGAGAAACTTCCTGACAGTGAGAACAATTAACCAGTGGAACAACCTGCCTCCAGAAGCAGTGAATGCTCCAACACTGGAAGTTTTCAAGAAGAGACTGGATAGCCATTTGTCCGAAATGGTATAGGGTTTCCTGCCTGAGAGGGGGTTGGACTAGATGACCTCCAAGGTCCCTTCCAACTTTACTATTATTATTATTATTATTAATTCTTTAGGTATATTCTAAGTATAGTGCAGGTGGTCCTTGACTTAAATCCATTCATTCAGTGACCTTTCAGAGTTACAACGGCACCGACCCTTTTTCACACGTACGACCACCGTGGTGTCCCCAGGGTCACGTGACCAAAATCCAGACGCTTGGCAACTGGCTTCCATTTATGACGGTTGCAGTGCTCTGGAGTCATGTAAAATAAATGACCTTCTTGTTTTGATGAGGTTTTGCCCCGTTTTGCCGTTTTTTTCACCACGTTCATTAAGGGAATCCGCAGCAGGTCTCAAATCCGTAACACGGCAGTTAAGTGGAGTGGAGTTCCCCGTTGAGCTTTTGCTTGTCGAAAGCTCGCAAAAGGGGGATCACGCCACACACACACACACACACAAACACACACACACACCACGGGCCGCTGCAACCGTCCTCAACGGGAGTCAGTCGTCAAGCATCCAAATGTGAATCACGCGGCCCTCGGGATGCTGCAATGGTCACAAGTGTGAAAAACGGTCCTGTCCCTTTTTTTCAGTGCCCTAGTAACTTTGAACGGTCACTAAACAAATCGTTGTAAGTCAGGGACTGCCTATATTC